TGGATGATGGCGTGGTTGGTGGGCTCCAGGTGGGAGCGGATGGGGAACCCAGAAAGAGTCTGTAGGACCCGGAAAGAGTCTGTAGGACCCGGAAAGAGTCTGTAGGACCCAAAATGAGTCTGTAGGACCCGGAATGAGTCTGTAGGACCCAGAATGACCCAGAATGAGTCTGTAGGACCCAGGATGAGTCTGTAGGACCCGGAATGAGTCTCTAGGACCCAGGATGAGTCTGTAGGACCCGGAATGAGTCTGAAGGACCCAAAATGAGTCTGTAGGACCCAGAAGGACCCAGAAAGAGTCTGTAGGACCCAGAAGAACCCAAAATGAGCCTGTAGGAACCAGAATGAGCCTGTAGGACCCAGAATGAGCCTGTAGGACCCAGAAACAGCCTTTAGGTCCTGGTTTCTGACTCCACCTTGACCCCAGGTCTTCAACCTCCTCCAGAAAACAGGAGGAAGGCTCCCGGGTGAGTTTCCTCTGCTACCTGCAGCCGCAGGACTCCACCACCATGTCCTCGTACTGCTTGTAGACCACGTTGTTGGCGGCGTCGATGTAGAGGATGCTGATGGGGCTGAGGCGGGTGGGCACGCAGCAGGTGGGCGGGGTCAGCGCGGGGTCCATGGAGTTGATGAGGGTCTGGATGATGGCGTGGTTGGTGGGCTCCAGGTGGGAGCGGATGGGGAAGTCGCAGGCGCCGTCGCAGTGGAAGGCGTCGTACTCCAGCGGCGCGATGATCCAGTCGTCCCAGCCCATCTCCTTGAAATTCACGTGGAGCCGTCGCCGGTGGCAACGGGGGCGGGGCCTGGCGGCGCCGGGGGTCTGGGCCGGTGATGATGGTGATGATGGTGGCGCCCGGCGCCCGGTTGCCGGGGGCGCCCGGCGCGTGCGGCGCTGCGTGAACAGGTACTCGTACACGGTCTGGTTCCCGTGGCCGGACCGGGCCCGGAGCTCGTTGTAGAACAGGCTCCGCCCCCCGCTGCGACCGAACGCCAGCAGGAACGCCTTCTCCTTATTGGCCCGCCCGGCCCGGGAGAAGCCCAGCGCCCGCAGGTCCAGGGCCCGCTGCCCCCCCCC